TGCTGTGACAGCTATGGGCCCTTGGCTGGGTAGCGCTTCTCCCAGGACCCCGGCTCCGGGCATCCAGCAGTGCTTTGCTGTGATTTGCATCACTGGTGATGGGTTTGCTTGGGAAGGGGGGGCTGCTGGCTTAGCCTTGCCCGTTGCTTCCCTGTGGCATCGCTGGCTTCAGGGACACATGGTTTAGGGAGCCACATCTTTGCCAACACCGGCATCAGGTGACGGTGTCTGTCCCACCGGTAAGAAATACCCATTAAAGCCTTGCTCACAGCACCTTGGCTGTTCAACACACCCCACCCCGTCCCAGAACCAGGGCACCCAGATGACACCAGCTGCTTTTCCGCTTTCTGCAAGCCGAACCAGGGTATTCAGGCACGCGTTGGCATCGCCCCGAGGGCCGAGCCTGGCACCCCGATGCCAGTAGAGCAAATGTCACACCCTGAACACCTCTAGACTCAGTTGCTTCATCACTGACGCACAAACCCTCCTACCACTGCTGAAACACGCTCCAGCCCAGCAAACCGCTGTCCTGCTGCTGTCCCTCCGGACTCGGACAGTGGCCCCGAAGGAGGTGGGGGGACCCCACTCTGCGACTTGGGTTGGGGGTCCTGAATGGCATTAAGGCATCTGAGAGACTTGTTTCTAATCAGGCTATGCTGAAACACGCTCCAGCCCAGCAAACCGCTGTCCTGCTGCTGTCCCTCCGGACTCGGACAGTGGCCCCGAAGGAGGTGGGGGGACCCCACTCTGCGACTTGGGTTGGGGGTCCTGAATGGCATTAAGGCATCTGAGAGACTTGTTTCTAATCAGGCTCCCTGTGGGGCTAATCCAGCCTGGGCCAGAGGCTGGGAAAGGCAACAGAAGGTACGTGCAGGATCCAAAAATACTCCCCGAGAGCACGGCCGGGCTCGCTGCCATCCCGTGGGTCCTGTCCGGAGCCCACCGCTGTCCCGGGAACAGGCTGTGGGATGTGGACGCTGTGAAGGCGGAGGCTTTGGAGCAGGAAAGCTGGTCCCAGTACTGGGTAGCTGCTGGCTTTCCCAGCCCCTGGCCAGGCCCTGCTCCCTCCGGGACCAGCAGAGCAGTGGG